AAACTTTCGCCTACACAGTAGGCTTCTTCAGTCGAGTACAGAAAAGTTGATAGAAGCAGAAGAGACTTGAAGACGATGTAATCAGTCCATCACCTCCAGACCGTCACAGTCCTTCAACTCAACAACTATGGTAGGGTTCACAAGGTCTCCAGACCGTCACAGTCCTTCAACACAACAACTGTGGTAGGGTTCACAAGGTGTCCAGACCGTCACAGTCCTTCAACCCAACTGTCATAGGGTTCACACGGTCTCCAGACCGTCACAGTCCTTCAACCCAACAACTGTGGTAGGGTTCACAAGGTCTCCAGACCGTCACAGTCCTTCAACTCAAGAACTACGGTAGGGTTCACAAGGTCTCCAGACTATCACAGTCCAACTCAACAACTATCGTAGGGTTCACATGGTCTCCATACCGTCACAGTCCTTCAACTCAACAACTGTGACCATAAAGGAGGTGACCAAGCTGACTTGAATAACTATAGACCAATATCTAACTTACCACTGCTCTCTAAAATCTTTTAAAAATTAATTCATAGACGGGTCTATTCCTACCTCGTTTCACGCAACATATTAAATCCTTGTCAGTTTGGATTCAGAAATAATAAAAGCACAAATGACGCTATCATACACATACTAGAACTAATATATACCGCACTTGTAAAGAAAGAAGTCCCGCTGGGCATTTTCATTGATTTACGTAAAGCTTTCGATACAGTCGACCATGAACTTCTGTACTCCAAATTAATGCACTTTGGTATCAGAGGCCACTCCCTCAACTACCTAAAGTCATACCTTAGTAACAGAACTCAATATGTGTATGCAAATGATGCAAACTCTTCCACCCAACCAATCACAGTAGGAGTCCCACAAGGAAGCGTCCTTGGACCACTCCTCTTTCTCATCTACATCAATGATCTACCGAATGCATCACAGCTACTCAAACCCATATTATTTGCAGATGACACTACATATATCTTTTCCCACCCAAACGCAGTCATACTAGCAAACACAGTCAATGCTGAATTACAGAAAATATCTGCCTGGATGATGACTAACAAACTTACCTTGAACACTGATAAAACCTATTTCATTCAGTTTGGAAACAAACCTGCAAATGATCCAATTAACATTACGCTAAATGGATCATCAGTCACAAGACTCACAGAGGGAAAATTCCTAGGTATCCACCTTGACAGTAGCCTTAAGTTCCGGACACACATACAACAAATCACCAAGAAAATCTCGAAGACTGTAGGCATACTATCAAAGATCAAGTACTACGTTCCACAGTCAGCTCTCCTCGCACTGTACCTTTCACTCATATACCCTTATCTTACATACGGAATTTATGCATGGGGATCAACAACATCCAATCACCTAAAACCCCTAATAACCCAGCAAAAGGCAGCAGTAAGAATGATAAATTCCCACTCCCGCCAGCATACTCCACCAATTTTCAAAAGTCTGAATCTGCTTACCATTAAGAGCATCCATACTTATTCATGTGCCTACTATATACACAGAACAATACACACAAATATAAACCCCCCACTCAAACTTTTCCTCACCAACCTAAACAGGACACATGACCACAACACAAGACACAGATCTCTTTTTGATATACCTCGTGTTCATATCACACTGTGTAAAAACTCTATGCACATAAAGGGCATCAAAATACGGAATTCATTACCAGAAGTTATTAAAGTAACCCAGTCTGAAAATCAATTTAAGGCTCTTCTCAAAAGCCACTTAATCACCCTAGACTAAATGCTAAATACTCAGTATACATTTACTCACCTATGTACTCCCACATCATAACTGAAACAGTCACATTGATCCCCGGCAACACCCCCCCCCCCACTGTTCATAGATCTAAACTTACTCCCCGTTCAGAACATCCACACTTACTACTGTGCAATCCATATCTACAGGACCTTAAATTCCAATATTAACCTCAACCTAAAACGCTTTCTTGATAGTTGTGACAGGATCCACAGGCACAACACCAGACACAAACATCTCTATGATCTTCCCCATGTTCGACTAAACCTTTACAAAAATTCAATGTGTTTCAAAGGACCTAAAATCTGGAACACCCTGCCTGAAAACTCTAGAACTGCAGACACATTCATCACTTTCAAAACTACAGTTAGAAAACATCTTATCTCCCTGATTACACCCCGACAACTAACTACATGATAACAACCTGGTGGTTCACATTTACGCTCACTCACCCACTGACTATAAACCCAGAAATACTAATCTTAATCTTAAAATAATAAATCCTAACTAGTCATAAGTTTGCCTATGATACTCCAATATAGACACCTTGTATTGTGCCAAAACAAAAGCATTCACATTGCTAAACTCACAAATTATGATGTAGTCACTTAGCCTTAATACCATAATCTGTAAGGATTTAATGTTAAGAATTAATCTAAGTCTGCCCGAAATGCCTAGCCATGCTAGGTGTCCTAGTGGCCCCCTCTGTAATTAGTATTTTATAACATGTAAACCACACAATACCCCAAACCTGTAAACCCCACATTGTAACCCATATAGAGAATAAACTTGAATTGAATATACTATTTCTTAGTATTAAGTAGAATGTAAGCCAATAATGTTAAGTTGGCCCATAATGCCAAGGCATAATAGAGGCTCTCTTTGCATTGCATCCCACTATTGTATATACACAATCTTAATGTACTGTTTGCATAGACATTAAATAAATAAATAGGGTTCACATGGTCTCCAGACCGTCACAGTCCTTCAACCCAACAACTGTGGTAGGGTTCACAAGGTCTCCAGACCGTCACAGTCCTTCAACCCAACAACTGTGGTAGGGTTCACAAGGTCTCCAGACCGTCACAGTCCTTCAACCCAACAACTGTGGTAGGGTTCACAAGGTCTCCAGACCGTCACAGTCCTTCAACCCAACAATTGTGGTAGGGTTCACAAGGTCTCCAGACCGTCACAGTCCTTCAACCCAACAACTGTGGTAGGGTTCACAAGGTCTCCAGACCGTCACAGTCCTTCAACCCAACAATTGTGGTAGGGTTCACAAGGTCTCCAGACCGTCACAGTCCTTCAACCCAACAACTGTGGTAGGGTTCACAAGGTCTCCAGACCGTCACAGTCCTTCAACCCAACAACTGTGGTAGGGTTCACAAGGTCTCCAGACCGTCACAGTCCTTCAACCCAACAACTGTGGTAGGGTTCACAAGGTCTCCAGACCGTCACAGTCCTTCAACCCAACAATTGTGGTAGGGTTCTAAACGGTCACCAGACCGTCACAGTCCTTCAACCCAACAACTGTGGTAGGGTTCACAAGGTCTCCAGACCGTCACAGTCCTTCAACCCAACAACTGTGGTAGGGTTCTCACGGTCACCAGACCGTCACAGTCCTTCAACCCAACAACTGTGGTAGGGTTCACAAGGTCTCCAGACCGTCACAGTCCTTCAACCCAACAACTGTGGTAGGGTTCTCACGGTCACCAGACCGTCACAGTCCTTCAACCCAACAACAACAAGAACAGCATCTACACCTGCTCTTCAGGGCAGCATCACCACGTGATTCTTCTGCCAACTTGCATTTTTATTTATTTTTTGTCACTTTACTTCAAATATCGGTTAATATGAAGTCATTCATTCCAAATTTTGTAAGTATGTCTTGTTATTATTCGTAGCAAACTTAATTATGTCTGTTGAAGTTCCTTGTAGACCGATCTGAGATTTAACTTTTTCTATAGGTTGCTTCTGGGCCCTGGGCCCTGGGCCCTGGGCCACTCTTGGGCCACCCCTGGCACACGAGTGACTGATTATTATGTAATGTCAGGTTTATAAGCATAGACTGTGGTCCACAGGTCGCTTCTGGTACAAGGTTGCTCATGGTCCAGAGGCTACTTGTAGTTCACACTTCTCCTGGTCTACAGGTCTCGTGGTCTCCTGGTCATTTCTGGTACACAAGCCACTCTTGACCCACAGTCCTTATTTAGTTCACAGGTCACTCCTGGTCTACAGGTTATTTCTAGTCCATAGGCAACCTCTGGTTCACAAGCCACAGGGTCCCTTGGCTCACAGGATCCCTTGACTCACAAGCCACAGGATCCCTTGGTTCACAGACCACAGGATCCCTTGGCTCACAGGCCACAGGATCCCTCGACTCACAAGCCACAGGATCCCTTGGCTCACAGACCACAGGATCCCTTGGCTCACAGGCCACAGGATCCCTAGGCTCACAGGCCACAGGATCCCTAGGCTCACAGGCCACAGGATCCCTTGGCTCACAGGTTACCCTGGTTCACAGGCCACAGGATCCCTTGGCTCACAGGCCACAGGATCCCTTGGCTCACAGGTTACCCTGGTTCACAGGCCACAGAATCCCTTGACTCACAGGCCACAGGATCCTGGTTCACAGATTACCCTGGTTCACAGGCTACAGGATCCCTTGGCTCACAGACCACAGGATCCCTTGGCTCACAGGCCACAGGATCCCTTGGCTCACACACCGGGCCGCGGGGGCGTTGACCCCCGAAACTCTCTCCAGGTAAACTCCAGGTAAACAGGCCACAGGATCCCTAGGCTCACAGGCCACAGGATCCCTAGGCTCACAGGCCACAGGATCCCTTGGCTCACAGGTTACCCTGGTTCACAGGCCACAGAATCCCTTGACTCACAGGCCACAGGATCCTGGTTCACAGATTACCCTGGTTCACAGGCTACAGGATCCCTTGGTTTACAGATTACCTTGGCTCACAGGCCACAGGATCCTGGTTCACAGATTACCCTGGTTCACAGGCTACAGGATCCCTTGGTTTACAGATTACTTTGACTCACAGGCCACAGGATCCCTTGGCTCACAGGCCACAGGATCCCTTGGCTCACAGGCCACAGGATCCCTTGGCTCACAGGCCATAGGTTCCCTTGGCTCTCAGGTTACCCTGGTTCACAGGCCACAGGATCCCTTGGTTCACAGGTTACCCTAGTTCACAGGCCACAGGATCCCTTAGCTCTAGGTTATCCTTGTTCACAGGCCACAGGATCCCTTGGTTCACAGGTTACCCTGGTTCACAGGCCACAGGATCCCCTGGCTCACAGGTTACCCTCATTCACAGGTGGCAGGATCTCTTGGTCCACAGATCACACCATCCCATAGTCGACAAGCCACTCCTGGTCAGCAGGCAGCTGTGGTATACAGATCATTAATGCCCAGTATGTGTCCCATGGCCTCAGTTGGCAATGCACTTGCCTCACAGACAGAGTGTTCATGGTTCAGTCCCTGGCATGAAGGAAATGTTGGGCATATTTCCTTACACCTGTTGCCCATGTTCACCTAGCAGTAAGTAGGTACCTGGGTGTTAGTTGACTGGTGTGGGTCACATCCTGGGGGACAAGATTGAAGAACCTGAATGGAAGTAAGACAGACAGTCCTCAGTGACTCACTGACTTTCTTGGTTTATCCTGGGTGGCTGGCCCTCCCTACCCCTGGTTAAAAATTCAAACAAATCTTATCTTAAGGTCCCATAATTGATGGGAGTAACATCTTATAATTACTGTGCAATATCTCTTACAGTTTGTGGGGAAGTTACAACTTATGGTTTATTATATAATAATAATAATACTAATAATAATAATAATAATAATTTTTTACATTGTTGTGAATTACTTATTTAAGTACATAGCTCATTCACTTGTTTACTGGCACTGTATTTAATATAACATCACATAAAAGTCCATTCAGATTGGTGTAGCTCTTTGCCTAGCTGCCCCCATACTCATTGAGCACAGGTGTATTTGTGGTTGTACATCAGTTAATCAATTTGGGCTGTGTGGTCTTATCTGTCATATGTCGAAAGGGAAGTTTGCCAGACACAAAGAGGTCAGTGACATCAAGCAAAGTCTCCTCCACAGTCTGTTCCCCAGCAGAATGAGAACCTCAAGTACTGAGGCCTGAGAAAGCCAAAAGCATCCAGATGGAGTCATCATGCTACCCTGGAAGGATGGTAAGCAAGTAAGTAAGTAAGTAAGTTTATTCAGGTATACACAAATACAGTTACATAGAATTATCATACATAGCAGCATATGTGTAGAGAACCTAGGATAACCCAAAAAAGTCAGACAGAGTGACTTATTTCCATTGGGGTCCTTTTACCTTATTATTATAATATAATGGTTATAATATTTTCTTATTATTCTATAATGAAGATAACATCTTATTATCATACTAAAAAGACTATCTACTACCCGAGGGTCATTAAGACTATCTACAATACGAGGATCATTACTAAGAATAAGGTAAAAAATTTACATGTATGCTAGCTAAAAAATAGAAAATCATTCCCCTCCCTTTCTGTAGCTACATTCATCAGACACCTTTTGGCACTCTTCTTGAACTGGTTCATGCTATGACTGGCTTTGACAAGTGCTGGCAGTCTGTTCCATTCCTTTATTGCTGTACAATAAAAGGTGTTAGAAGGATGGCCAATGACTGTGGGTACTACAAAGTTGTGCTCTCTCCCCCTAGTACTATGATTGCTTTGGTTCCCAACCTTGACAAAATTGACAGCAAGATATTCTGGACACTGTTTGTGAGCAATTTTATAAACATGATTTAGCTTCAGTTGTTTTACTCTGTCTTCAACATTCAGCATATCCAACTGCTGTAATTCATTCTGGCCTACATGCTCTCTTGGTCCCAACCCAAGGATGAATCTTACGATTTTGTTCTGGGTGATTTGCAGTCTTTCAGTTTTTTGTCAAGGCAGAGTACCATGAAGAGCAAGCGTAATCCATATGGCATTGTATAAGGGCTAGACATAGGGTCCTGCGAGCCTCAGTAGGTAGACACTGTGCTTGTCTATGCAGGAACTTCAGTCTGGCATTCGCTTTCTTTACTACACTGTTCCCTATCAATTCTGACATGCATGGGTCAAAGGGGATTCCCAGATATTTTATTGATGAAACTAAAGTAATGGGCTCCCCATTACACGGGACATAAAAATTATTTATCCTTCTCAGTTTATGTTTCGTGCCAAAGAGAATGGCTTCAGTTTTCCCGAGGTGTAATGATAGTTTGTTGTCTACTAGCCATTTGCTGCAGGACTCCAGTTCCAGTGTTAAAACATTAGCTATATCTTGTGGGTCTTTACCTGACACTAACAGAGCACTGTCATCTGCATACAGTAGAAGTTTGCACTTGACACTGATAGGCATGTCATTGACATAACATAAGAATAATAAGGGACCCAGAATACTACCTTGGGGAACTGCACATGCTATCAGCAGGGGTTCTGATTCCGTTTTGTTGATTTTGACAATTTGTCTCCAGTTGCTAAGGTAGGACTTAAACCAGTCTACAGAACCTATACTGATAGCTTGAAGTTTCTTACATAATATATTGTGGTTGACAGTATCGAAGTCCTTTTGCAGGTCTAAGGTTACCATACCTATGAGGTTCCCCTTTGACATTTCAGTTCTCAGGTAATCCATCAGATTAATTAGGGAGGTGTCGGTTGAGTAAGATCTTCTAAAGCCCGATTGATAGCTATGGAGAATGTTGTTGTCATTAAGGTACTTAACTACTTGAGAGTACACCGCCCTCTCTAGAATTTTGGATATTATACTGAGCATACTAACAGGCCTATAGTTGCTTACATCAGACCTACTATTTTTCTTGAAGACAGGAGTAACTCGGGCCTCCTTGAACCCATCCGGTACGGTATTAGTGGTGATTGATAGATTTATTATGTGAGCAATAGGGATTGACAGTTCAGAAGCACCATCTTTTAGGAGCTTAGGAACTTGCATGGGACTACACCTGTGAGTCAGTGTTGACTGACACCTACTTACCATACTCTGAAGCTGAAGGGGAGGGGGGTGCTGCCAGTTTCAAAGAGACCCAGAAGATCAACAAATACAGTGGGTTGTATATAAGAACATAAGAAAGAAGGAACACTGCAACAGGCCTACTGACCCATGCAGAGCAGGTCCATGACCCCCCACCCCCCCAGATTAGCCCAATGACCCCCCCCTAGATTAGCCCAGTGACCCACCCAGTCTGGTCACCTCCACTCAACTATGGAGCACGACACCAGACTCGGCAGCACAAGCTAGTCAGGTCCAACTCACACCCACCCACACCCACTCATGTATTTATCTAACCTATTTTTAAAACTACACAACGTTTTAGCCTGAATAACTGTACTAGGGACTTTGTTCCACTCATCCACGACTCTTATTACCAACCCAGTGCTTTCCTATATCCTTCCTGAATCTGAATTTTTCCAACTTGAAACCATTGCTGCGAGTCCTGTCTTGGCTGGAAATTTTCAGCACGCTATTTACATCCCCTTTATTTATTCCTGCTCTCCATTTATACACCTCGATCATATCCCCCCTAATTCTACGCCATTCGAGAGAGTGCAGATTCAGGGCCCTCAGTCTATCCTCATAGGGAAGATATCTGATACATGGGATCATCTTTGTCATCCTCCTCTGTACGTTTTCCAGAGCATTTATATCCATTCTGTAATACGGTGACCAGAACTGAGCAGCATAGTCTAAATGAGGCCTAGCCAAGGATATATAGAGTTGAAGAACAACCTGAGGACTTCTATTATTTATACTTCTAGATATGAAGCCAAGAATTCTGTTAGCTTTATTGCGAACACTAATGCACTGTTGTTTAGGTTTTAGATTACTGCTAACCAGAACTCCTAAATCCTTTTTGCAATCGGTAGTATTAAGATCTACATTATTTAGTTTATATGTGGCATGGTTATTTAACTGTCCAACATTTAGAACTTTGCATTTGTCAATGTTAAATTGCATCTGCCACTTCTCCGACCATTGCATCAGTCTATTAAAATCATCCTGGAGTGCTCTAGTGTCCTCATTAGAATGAATTGGATGGCCTACTTTGGTGTCATCAGCAATTTACTTATGTCACTATTTATTCCCTCATCTATGTCGTTTATGTAAATTGTGAACAACAACGGGCCTAACACTGACCCCTGAGGAACACTGCTTGTGACGTGCCTCCATTCTGATTTCTCCCCATTTATGCAAACTCTTTGCTGCCTGTTTGTCAGCCATGCCTCTACTACCCAGGAAAAAATTTCTCCTCCTATTCCGTGTGCCTTAAGTTTCCTCAATAGCCTCTGGTGTGGAACTCTATCGAAAGCCTTATTGAAGTCCATATACAGAACATCATATTCATTACCATGATCTACCTCAAACAGTGAAAAAAGTTAGTAAATTCGTTAGACAGGAATGCCCCTTTGTAAAACCGTGTTGAGATTCATTAATCAATCTGTGCCTATCAAGATGGCTACGAATTGCTTCGGCAATTATTGATTCCATAAATTTTCCCACTATGGAGGTAAGGCTTATTGGTCTATAGTTCGGAGCCAAGGACCTGTCACCTGCCTTATAAATAGGTATTACATTTGCCATTTTCCACTTATCAGGCACTATGCCAATTTGTAGTGATATGTTAAAAAGATTAGCCAAAGGTATGTTAAGTTCCTCTTTACATTCCTTTAACACCCTTGCAAACAGTTCATCAGGGCCTGGGGATTTGTTAGGTTTTAGTTTCTCTATTTGTCTGAGGACCATGTCACTAGTTACCGTAATTGTACATAGTTTATTATCCTGTTCTACATAATATATTATTTCAAGAATATTGCTAGTATTTTCCTGGGTGAAAACTGAGAGGAGGTAGGTATTGAGAATTTCACACATATCCTTATCACTGTCAGTGATCTGACCAGAGTTACTCTTAAGTGGGCCAATCTTGTCCCTAATCTTACTTCTGTATACCTGAAAGAACCCTTTTGAGTTAGTCTTTGAATCCCTTGCGACCTTAGCCTTATAATCCCTTTTTGCTTTTCTTATTCCTTTCTTTATTTCTCTCTTTAATTGAATATATTGATTTCTTAACTGCCCATCCCCTCTTTTGATATGCCTATATATGCCTCTCTTTTCACCAATGAGATGTTTTAATCTATTGTTCATCCATTTGGGATCATTTTTGTTAGATCTAATTTCCCTACTCGGAACAAAAGTTGTCTGGGCAGCTAGAACTATGCTCTGAAAAACGTCATATTGGCAACCAGGATCACCTACCTGACCCATAGTCAGGACATCCCAATTTAGCCCACCCAGGTAATTTTTCAGTCCCATGAAGTCAGCCAAGCGAAAATCTGGGACAGAGATTTGATTGCAGTTATCTGGGTAATTCCAATATATATTGAAACTAAGTGATTTGTGATCACTTTCCCCAAGCTCATCATTAACCTCATGATTATTAATTAGTGAATCTTTGTTGGCAAGAACCAAGTCAAGCAGATTGTTTCCTCTAGTTGGTTCTTTCACAACCTGTTCTAAAAAGCAATCCTGAACCGTATCAAGAAAGTCACTAGACTCAAGATTTCCTGTCAAATTGTTCCAAATCAATTTGTCTAAAGTTAAAATCTCCCATTATCACAACATTTTCATATCTAGATGCTTTATGAATTTCGTCCCATAAAAACTTACTGCACTCCCTGTCAAGGTTTGGGGGCCTATAAATCACGCCCAAAATTAATTTGTCACGTCCCTCGAGAAACTGTAGCCAAACAGATTCTGTGTTAGGTGTTTCTACTCTTATATCATGTCTAAGACAACAATTTAAATTTTCTCTAACATACATCGCCACTCCACCACCCTTCCTGTTGACCCTATCAGTGTGGAATAATTTATAACTTTGTATGTTGCATTCAGAAGGCATTTCTCTATCTTTCAGGTTGAACCAGGTCTCTGTTATAGCAATAATATCTATATTACCTGCACTTGCAAGTAATCTTAGCTCATCTATCTTATTTCTTAGGCTCCTACTATTTGTATAGTAAACCTTAAGGGAGCTAGTCACTCGTTGCCCTCTAGTATCTTTGTTGATCAATTGATTTGCCATTACTAGCAACTTTATTTTGAATATTGTCTTTTAAACATATCCCTGAGGTATCCCAGTAATAACTGCTGTTTTTAACCCTAATGCTGCAGCCTGATTGTTTCCCACAAACACCCATACCTCTATAATCTATCAGTTTAAATTCCCAGACAAGTCATCATTTACCCTCTCAATTGAACTGGCTAATGCAACCACTCCATCCCCAGAGAGATGAACCCCATCCCTTGCATACATATCATGTTTGCCAAAGAATAGGTCCCAGTTATCAATGAATGGGATTGCAAGTTCCTTGCAGTATCTGTCTAGCCAGCAATTTATACCAATTGCCCTAGACATCTATTTATTGCCCACTCTCTTTCTAGGCAAGATGCTACATATGACTGGGATCCCTCCCTTAGACCTGACTACTTCTATGGCTGACCTGTACTTATCCAGCAGCTCCCCTCTCCTGCCCTTCCCAATGTCATTACCCCCAGCACTAAGACAGATAATGCACTTGTTCCCATTACCTGCCATAATATTTTCCAGCCTGCTGACTATGTCACCAACACCAGCTCCAGGAAGGTACACTCTCTGTCTGACCTTTCTGTCTCTGTTACAAAATGTATGGTCCATATATCTCACCTGAGAATCGCCTACTATTAAAACATTCTTACTTTGATTAGCAGAGGAATCAGTGGTACCTTCAACCTCACTAACCACTGAAGTACACTCGTCTTGGAGAACAGAGAATCGATTTCCTACCTTCACATCTTCTCTATTAACTCTCCTCATCTTCCTTCTTCCTGAACTGTGAACCACTTGCCACTTAAAGCAGCTGCCACTATCACTGCTGGTGACCATTTCCTCCTTACCAGCTAAATCCTTCTCACACTCGCTCCCAAACTCGTCTATGCGAAGCTTCAGCCTCCTATTTTCCTCCTGAAGAAGTAGAATCTCCTTCAACACTTGAACCCGAGATTCTAAAACACTACAAGGCATGGTGCTTGGTAATAGCCCACGCTAACTCCCAAGAGTAAGCCTTAGGCAGGTATGTCCGCAGGTGACCACTATATGTATGGTATTCACTGCCAACAAGGTGAAGAATTAGGCCCCACCTAAATTATTCAGCTCAGGTCTGGTCTCCATACTACAGAATAGACATAAATTCTTTAGAAAACATTCAGCGTAGAATGATTAAATTAATACATAGAACATAAGAATGGAGGAGCACTGCAGAAAGCCTACTAGCCCATGCAAGGCAGGTCCTTATCAAAACTACCTCTACCCAAAGCTACCCAAGAATTTACACCCATACCCAATGACACCAATCAAACCCAGCCCCTCCCCCCCCCATATATTTGTCCAAACTCTTTTTAAAGCTACCCAAGGTCCTAGCCTCAATCACCCTACTGGGAAGATTGTTCCATGCATCCACAACTCTGTTAGAAAACCAGTACCTACCTTATGTCCTTTCTAAATCTAAATTTTTCCAACTTAAATCCATTATTTCTGGTTCTTACCTGGTTTGACACCCCTCAGTACTTTATTAATATCTCCTTTGTTTATGCCCGTCATCCACTTCTAAATTTCAGTGACATCTCCGTTCATTCTATGTCTCTCCAGAGAGTGGAGATTTAAAGCTTTAAGTCTATCGTTATACGGGAGATTCCTTACACAGTAAATCATTTTAGTCATTCTTCTCTGTATGTTCTCCAATGAGTCTATATCCATCCTGTAGTAAGGAGACCAAAACTAAGCGGCATAATCCAAATGAGGCCTCACTAGTGAGGTATAGAGCTGTAAAATAACTTTTGGACTTCTGTTACTTATACTTCTAGAGATAAATCCTAGTAATCTGTTAGCCTTGTTGTGCACACTAAGGCACTGCTGTCTTGACTTTAGATTTCTGCTTACCATGACTCCCAAGTCTTTTTCACATTCTGTATGATCAAGCTCTACTTCACCTAGTTTATAGCTTCAAGGGTTATTTTCACTACCAAGGACTAGTACCTTTCACTTATCCACAGTGAACTTCATCTGCCATTTTTCAGACCAAGACATTAATTTGTCCAAATCCTCCTGAAGTTCATTGCTATCCTCCTCAGAATGAATTATGCGGCCTATCTTTGTATCATCAGCAAATTTACTCATGTCACTTGTAATCCCTTCATTAAGGTCATTAATGTAAATTATGAACAAGAGAGGGCCCAAAACTGATCCCTGTGGAATGCCACCAGTGACTAGTCCCCATTCAGATTTGACCCCATTAATGGAAACTCTCTGCTTTCTATTGGTAAGCCATGCCTCTATCCATGCTAGAGCTTTACCTCCTATACCATGAGCTGCCACTTTCCTTAAGAGTCTCTTGTGAGGTACTCTATCAAAGGCTTTACTAAAATCCAAATAAACAATATCATATTCTTTATCACTGTTCACTGCCTCAAATGTTCTATTGAAGAACACCAGTAAATTTGTCAGGCAGGAACGACCTCTCGTGAACCCATGCTGAGATTCATTAATCAAATTACGCTCTTCAAGGTGACTTCTAATAATGTCACCTATAATTGAATCTATTAACTTGCCCACTATAGATGTCAGGCTTATTGGACGGTAATTTGAAGGAGTGGACTTATCCCCTGATTTGAATATAGGAACCACATTAGCCATCTTCCACAACTCTGGCACAACACCAGTAAGGATGGACGCATTAACCCTTAAACTGTCCAAACGTAGATCTACATTTTTTCAACATTTGAAAGTATGTAAAAAAACGTAGATCTTCTTTTTGTTTTTTTACATTTGAAAACGTGTAAAAAAACTGTGATCTACGTTTTTTTTGTTATATTTGAAAATATGTAAAAAACGTAGATTTACTTTTGGAGCACTACGCATGTGAACATAGATCTGTTTGGACAGTTTAACCCTTTCAGGGTTTCGGACGTACTAGTAAGGCTTACGCACCAGGGTTTTTGACGTACTAGTACGCCTAAATTCTAGTGCCCTCAAATCTAGTGAGAGAAAGCTGGTAGGCCTACATATGAAAGAATGGGTCTGTGTAGTCAGTGTGCGCAGTATAAAAAAATCCTGCAGCACACAGTGCGTAATGAGAAAAAAAAAACTTTGACCGTGTTTTTGGATTAAACCAGCGACTTTGCACTGTATTTTCGTATGGTATTTATTGTTGTATTCTAGTTTTACTGGTCTCATTTTATAGAATGGAAGACATATTACAGAAATTGCGATAATTTTGACTGGTTTTACAATGAAAAGTATCTTGAAGTTGAGCTCAAAGTTGAAGAAATGTTCAATTTTTACCAAAGTTCAAAAGTAAACAAATCATGTTAAGCATCCAATACACATCAACTGGTGAGTCTAATATTCTTTCACAAGTGCGCTGATATTATTTATACCATATCTACACTAATGCAGTAGTCTGAATAACAGTAAAGCTTCTATTTTTTGTGAGAAAAAAAATTTGAAGTGGAAAGCAAAAGAAATGTAAGAGGGGCCTGGGGACTTGACTAATGAACAGAGGAAATGTTATTTTAGTGCAAGGAATGTCTGTCTTGTTTATTCTGGACCCTATTTGGAAATTGGCATCTTTTGAAATTTGTGTGAAATTGGCAAAATTGCTGATTTCTGACCACTTTATTGGGTAGTTGACATCGGTAAATGGGTGGTTTCTTGTACTCACTTTGATAGAAAAAATGGAGTTCTAGCAAAATAGTTATGATTTTTGAATAGTACACTGGAATTGGCCGAAAATAGAGCTCAAAGTGGGCAAAATCACTGATGCATAAACATTGTTGAGACCACTAACTTCACAAGAGCATAATTCTGTAAGTTTTCCATCAAATTTCATACTTTTGGTGTCATTATGATCGGCAAAAAATCATTTTTTTTTTCTGAAAAATTTTTGACCCTGAGAACAAGTTTAGGAGAGGGCCTTTCGACCCTGAAAGGGTTAATATGTGATAATGTAAACACATTATCAGGCTTTTATATGCATTTGAAAGTGAAAAAAAAGCTATGTTTCACTTTACACTAGTAGCCTAGAACTTAACCTGCTGTATAAGTGGGGCCTACCATGAAGTGGGGCCCTCCTGTATATTTGTAGACATTGTATTTATGTGAAACTAAACCTGTGTTAGCCATTTAATGCAAGACATGGTGGAGGCTCAATCCTCCATCTCAGCATGAGACAGACATCCATTTATGGAGCACATTGTGCATACTGTGATATTGTATGTCACAAAATGCAGCACTGTATAGTAAATTTAGTTTACCAATTCTCTTTTACATTATGAATATGTCTCTTGTCTAACTTATAGGAGGATCCTCCAGAGTCAGATGATTCAAGTGATGAGATACCTCCGGGGGGAGTTTTCCAGATAGTGGCTGTGGAGGATGAGAATGATGAGACCAGTGAAGACGACAATGTGGCTGCAGACTCGAATGGAGACAGTTCTACTGGCAGTCATGATGATGAGGATAATGAGGTATTATATTTAGTTAATCTACTCTTTTCCAAAGTAATTTAATAGACTGTATGAACAGATTAACTATCTTTTTATTGATGAATTAGTACAGCCTCTCCTCACTTAACAGCGGAGTTCCGTTCCTAAGATCTCATCAGTAATGAATTCATTGCTAAGTGAGAAGCATACTATAATGGTAGTGAGTCTCAACCCTCTTTGATATTGGTTTAATGTCACCTTTGCACCATTTGTAACATTTCTGGTATATTTTTAAATATTTATACAGTAGTGTACAGGTCGGCCATCACTAATCTGGCAATCAGTTATCAGGTTCCATCAGTAATCTGGCACTAATTTCAGCTAGCATAATTTCAAATTTCATCATTATACTGACTCAAATTTCATTTATTATCCTGACTCAGAAATTGTGCAGATGGTTGTAAATCCACAGCAGCAAACCAGTGGAGAAGAAAGCAGTGTTGAAAATGAAGAAGTTGTAACAGAAAGAATCTCTAGTGATAGGTTAATTAAGTGTATTCTAACCTAACCACTCTGTAATCCGGCATACTCATTGATCCGGCATACTACAGGTCCCAATGATGTCGGATTAGTGATGGCTGACCTGTACTCTATGTTGAAATAAACAGAATAGAGGAAATCAGTTCTAATATGCATTATTGAGGTATGAATAATGGTCAGAGAGCCCATCGTAAGTCCGAGGCGTCAGTAAACAAATACATCGCTAAGTGAGGAGAGGCTGTACTGGTAACAATCAAATTCAAAATTCAAATGCCATTTTTTTTTTTTTTTTTGCATAGTATACAGTGTATGATTTACATGTTATAAAATATTGTTAAACACAAAGAAAGCTATTAGCATGCCTGAGCATTTCAGGCAGACTAATCCTAATGCTTACACACTGCTTAAAATCAAACATAGGTTATAGAGTGGTAAATTTTAATTATTATTTTACATTACTACAAATGAGAGTCAAAATTTTTATAATTAATAAGATTTATAGTAGAGAGGTAGCAAAACAAATAAAAGTATTACAGTTAGTACAGTTAATATTACAGCAGTACAATTTTAAGTGTGTATTAATATTTTAGATTGATTTAGTGGTTTTAAGTGGAATTTCTTGAGTAGTTTCAAACTTGTTGAGTGATTTAGTATAGTGTTGGTATAGTTAAATTGAGAGATTGACATTATTTTTAATTATAACCCTAAATTGATTGGCAGGCAGGGGACCTTTTGCTGGTTCAGGCAATGAATTCCAGATCTTAGTGCCCTTTATGTGCATTGCATTTTTCATAGAGTGAAATGGACACAAGGGATGTTGAACAGAGTTTTGTGCCTGTGTGTTCTGTTGTTATCAAGGAGAAGTTTGAGAGGAGGGTTTATATTGGAGTTTAATGTTCTATATATATATAATAGGCACAATAATATGAGTGCATATTTTGTATATTAAGTTCAAACTCTTGAAGAGTGAAGGGGTGTGTTTTCTGGTGCAGGAATTAGTGATCATCTGCACAACAGATTTTTGTTGAGTTATTAATGGTTTAAGGCGACTGATCGTGGTTGATCCCCTAGCATGAATACCATAGGTGAGTTAAGGGCAGATTAGAGAGTGGTATAGTGTAAGTAGTGCCATTTGGGGTATATAGTACTGTATCTTGGAAAGGATGCCTACTGTTTTGGATCTGAAATTTAGGGTTGCAGTCAAGATGAAGGCCTAAAAGTTCACCCTCAATGTGTCTTGTAATGTGGGAACCATTCATCAATATGTTAAACTGATTATTTAAAGCTCTGTTTCCGAACAGCATGAAGTAGGTTTTGTCTATATTAAGAGCGAGTTTGTTGGTCATCATCCATGTGGATATTTTTGGTACCTTTTTGTTAACAGTGTCACTAAGCAGGAGAAATATCGGAGCTGGAACAAATACAGAGATCGTTTATGGATCACATTGAGCCAGTAAAGAGCCTAAACTACTGGGAATGCCTTCAAGTCTTGAACATGTACTCATTGGAGCAGAGGAGTGAGAGATACATGATAATATATACCCGGAAAGTACTCGAGGGCCTGGTCCCAAATCTACACTGCCATAACAACATACGTACTGGAGTGAGAGATATGGGAGGAAGTGTAAAATAAACCCAGTGAGGAGCAGGGGTGTGGTGGGGACAATAAGGAAACACTGTATCAACACCTGGGGTCCCAGACCATTCATCATCTTACCAGAATATAACAGAAACTGTTGGAACAAGTGTAGAAGCCTTCAAGAGGAAACTGGACAAGTATCTTCACCAGGTGCCAGATCAACCATGCTGTGATGGATATGTGGGGCAGTGGACCTCCAGCAGCAACAGCCTGGCTGACCAGGCAAGCACCAGATGAGCCTGGCCTATGGCCGGGCTCAGAGAAACTTAAAACTCTTCAAAGGTATACCAAAGGTAAGTACAGTCGGGTTTGAGTGGGAAAAGATATAAGTGGTGTCATCTGCAAATAGAACTGGTTCAAGGAGATGAGATGCACTGGGGAGGTCATTGATGTAGTCGTTGGAGTCCTGTGGGACGCTGCACTGTGGCACTCCATTGATTACAGGCTGAGTAGTTAAGTTTACACCATTTGTGGAGACATATTGGTGTCTATTGCTAAGATGAGATTTTAAGTATTCAAGGGTTTGTCCTCTGATCCTGTAATGTTCTCGTTTAACCCTTTGACTGTTTCGGCCATGTATATACGTCTTATAAGCCAGTGTTTCCAACGTATTAATACACGTATACTCTAGCAGCTTCAAATCAAACGGGAGAAAGCTGGTAGGCGGACATGTGAGAGAATGGGTCTCCATGGTCAGGGCCGGATTACCGCATAGGCAAACTAGGCATTTGCCTAGGGCCCCGCGCATTTGGGGGCCCCGTGGTCCAAGGGGTTCAGGGGCTCATCCAAGACTGCGCACATGGTGCAAGTGCAAAGGGGTCCCTACCTAAAAAGTTCAAGTGTTTGGAGAGTAAAATTGATTTTTAAAAGTTAATCAAAACAAAAATAAATAATGAAATAAAATAAAAATAAATAAACCTAACCATATATGGCAACACTCAACACGCCCTTGTTTACATCAGAACAGCTGTGTTTTCCCGCTAATGGGTTAGTATGGGAGATTCCTCTCCAATTTTCTGTAGTAATTACACGTTATCTAGACTTGTACTGTGACAAAGTAACTAAAGTGTTGTTGATAGACATTGATGTGTATGGATAAATGTTTGTTTTCACCTTTAAATGTTAAGGGAGGTACCTGATAGGGTTACTTGACCATTAAAGACACATGGACCAGTAAAGACGCATTTTTGGTAAAAATACTATAAAGAAAAACCTAAAAATGCAAACTGACTTCCGTTTGTAGGTTTTAAAAGCACTTTGTCCTGTCTTTAAGTCTTTATCATTTCAATAACAGATCTCAATTGATTGATGTTCTACATCACTTCCGTCGCAAATGCTTAGTTTTCAAGTTGCGACGGAAGTGATGTAGAACATCAATTAATTTACTACATATTTCCCCAGAAACACATAAGCCACATCAAAAATCGTTGGTTGGGTGAAACTGAAATTGTCCCTGCATTCTTTAATTCTCATGTCCTATCTATGGTGGTAGGCCATATATCATGCAAAACATAATGATTAGTTTAGTTATGAAAATGGTAATATAAATACCATTGTGCATTGTTCTTGGACTCAGTATGATTTCTCTTTAAGTAAATTGGAGATCAAGGAGGATGAATTAGTAAAATATTCGTAGCCCAAATCACTAACCTAATCTATGGTAAAAGTTCTGTATATGACTCCTTTCTGGTAACGTTTTGAATTTTTAGATGCGCAGCCAGAGGAAAGGGGGCTACAAGGGCCATATCCCCCCATTTGACAGAAAAAAAAAATTAATAATAATTAAAAAATTAATTATAATTGATAATGAAAAATTTGTATTTGCATGATTACAGAGTAGTGATACATCCTCATTATGGCATCTCGTGAACGTGATGTTGGACGTTCTTATGCGAGTGGGTCACAGAAAAGAAAGAAGAAAATTCAAGAAGAAGAACAGAAAAAGAAAGATGTAGGAAGCTGCAGAAAGATCACAGACATGCTCAGGAAAACAGTTTCTGATGTTACCAGTACAGTTGAATCTGCAGATATGTCAGATCATACAGGAAGCCCTCCCTCCATTATTTCTCAGCCAGCATCTACTTCTTTTGTGTCTCCTCTCAATGTCTCAACGGACATTTCATCCACAGGATTTGTCTTAAAAGATCCTGCCTCATGGCCAAATGTAATCCCAGATTCTCTACGTAATGCTTTCATTGCAGAAAACTTCAGTCAAACTCTGAACATTGACTTTAGGAAATCAGCAAGGATTTATGATGATGGAAGTCGTCGTTGTTTAAAGTCATCTATGTTCTATAGGAAGCTTGCAAATTCAGAAACTGAAAAGATCATGGATGGTATACTCTGAAAGCTCAGGAAAAGTGTACTGTTCAGCATGCAAGCTATTTTCTACCAAAGAAAATACCTTCACACAGGGGTTCAATGACTGGAAAAATTCCAAGCGTTTCGAGGAACATGAAAACAGCACCACTCACAGGAGCTGCATTTTAGCCTGGAGTTTACCTGGAGAGAGTTCCGGGGGTCAACGCCCCCGCGGCTCGGTCTGTGACCAGGCCTCCTGGTGGATCAGAGCCTGATCAACCAGGCTGTTGCTGCTGGCTGCACGCAAACCAATGTACGAGCCACAGCCCGGCTGATCAGGAACTGACTTTAGGTGCTTGTCCAGTGCCAGCTTGAAGACTGCCAAGGGTCTGTTGGTAATCCCCCTTATGTGTGCTGGGAGGCAGTTGAACAGTCTCGGGCCCCTGACACTTATTGTATGGTCTCTTAACGTGCTAGTGACACCCCTGCTTTTCATTGAGGGGATGGTGCATCGTCTGCAAGTTCGGTACTAGTCCCTCTAGGATTTTCCAGGTGTATATAA